TGCCGTTAGCAATCTTACAGTGGTGTTTGCTCATCCTGAATAATACAAAATGGTACAGAGCAGGAAGGTAGTTTGAGGGAAACTGAACCACCATGCCTGATGGAAATGGTTTCTCTTCTAATCAGTGATTAATATGCCTCTCCTGCTTTTAGAAACCCATCTCTGCTTCCTCATTTGCCTTTTCAGGGGGTCATTAAGATCCCACTGTCTCTTGGATGCTCTGCTCTATTAGGCTAGAGACACAGGCTGCGAGAAACTCAATTGGCATGAATTATGCAGCAGAGAAAACCCTTGCGAAGGGGGGGGTAACCTGTCACAACCTGGTTTTCTCTACCAAATGACCAGTCTCGACTAGTAGTACTGCCATTACACTATCCCATTCAGAGCCCCATGACCCAGTAATTGTTTTGGGAATGAGTGCAAAGCTATCAGATACCAACTACTATAATTAGAAAAGGGAGAAACACTTACCAGAGCTAACGTAGTTAGGCTGGAGCATTTACAGCGCCTGTTTTTTTTTGTTTGTTTTTTTTTTTGGTTATGGAGCCTCTTTCTCAGTTTTCCTTCCTAAAATGCAAATTATACAGTTTTTGGGTTCTTGCATTCCAGTTTTTGTTACTGCAGTGCACTCTCTTTCCTTTTCCCTCCTATTTTAATTGGAGTACAAATTGCTGTCAGCACATCGAGTTCATGTGCCAGCCACATTCAGAACAGGGTGTTCTGTGCTCTTCAAAACAAAATTGCTGTAGGGCAGTAAGAGAACAATAAGTCAGAGCTCCAGTTTAAGTGATGTTTTGCAGCAGACCAGGCTTACTTGATGTGGTTACACTGGGATTGCGCAGCTAAACTCTGGTAATTTGGTTTGGTTGGACTTTGTGGGGTTTGAAAGACCTTCCCCATTTAAGTTACATAGATTTCAAGTCATGGGGGAAAAAAATGTTCCTTTTTAACTTGTGCTTTTCTTTCTCTACCAAAAAAAAGTCCTAAGTAGAAGCATCCTGTATGTACTTTTATTCTCTTTGGGCACGTCATAGATCATTTACTTCCCGTAAATCATGCTGGTTGGAATTAGCAACAGATCTCCTGAGCCCTAGAGGCTGAGCTCTCAGTGAGTCATGATGGTTATTATTAAATATTTATTAAGTGAGTATTTGTACTAAGAGATGCAAGGTCAGAAGCAGCTACAGGTCTTCCACAGCCAGAGCTACCATGGTTTTCTTTGGTAGCACTTGTTAAAACAGCATGTATTAAAAAAATGATCTATGAAGGTAGACATATCTATCAGCATGAAGGGAGTGTGCAAGTTCTTGTCAACAGCCTTGTAGAACTGGTCACGCCAGTGTTCCACATTTGGAAACCAGTTAACAGAGCTGTAGCCCTCCCTGTTTGTAGATGTACACAATCAATGAGCAGTAGACTGCCTGAGGCTATGGTATCCCTTGCTCTGACATTCCAGATAGCATCAGCATTAAAGTGGTTGTCTTACATATATAGACATAAACTCTGTGTATGTGTGTGCACATATTTTATTTCAATTAAAACTTTGTGGTACTGTAGTAGTAGAGCTTGTTCAGTTCTAATTTAGAAAAAAGATTGATATATAAGGCAGTAAGTTTTTCTGCAAGTAATTATAAAAGTTTACCTCCTATTAGATGGCCACAAACATTAGTTCTCTCATTTATTGCCTCAAAGATAAGAAGCAATGAACTTTTTGTTTTGTTTTCTTCATTATGCTTTCATTAAGTTTCATAGTGTGACTTTTTTTTTTTTTTACATTCTTATTGCATTTACCTTTCACAACATGCTTATTAGTGGCCAGTTTTTGATCACGTAAAATGATGGGTTATCACATCTAAAATTATAAACAGAGGTTTAATGTCAAGTAAATGCATTAAGCTAAAGCCTAGGAAGCTGACACACAAGCAGGAATCCTTTGCAGACTCTGGATTTCCTGTTTTGAAAACACATTCAAACTTGATCAACCAAAAACCGCAGCAAATGTACTGATAGTTTCCTCCCCCCACTAAATGCACTCTCCTTTAGGGAGGAAGATGGTACTTCTAACAATAAACCTCAAACAAAAAGATCTGTCAACTAAGCTGTGAGCTACTAGAATAATAAATCTCAATATTTGAGCTTTTCTACAGCACAGGAGCTAAATTCACTTTGCTCAGCAAATCTGTTCATGAAAGTGTCTTCACCTTAGTCTAAATTAAACTTCATAGTCAGATTTTAAAATATTTAAGAACACAAACTTTCCAGAACTCTCAACTCCTTTAGAAGCAGCAACATTGACTCTAGTAAAAGTATCTTAAGCCTTAAATTTAAGGCTTAAGATGCAGTATGTGTGCAGTATGTGTGCATTTGAATATAAAAAAATTGAATTTATTTTGAAGGTGGTTTCCAGTTCAGAAGAATTTTCAATGTGCTGAAAGTTGATTACCTTTCATTTTCTCGGTATCATCCAAAAGTAAGGGTAACAGAGAGCATCAACTGCGTTTAAGCCACTGGGACATAGCAAAACTCCCATGTGCCACTCCAGCCTGAGAGCAGGCTTAGCCCTTGCCCATGTTTGAAGGGTCTGACTTAAGAGTGAGGCCTTCTCTAGATTAACCCAAGCTTCTTGGACTCTATCCTAGGTCTGCAGTGGGAACGAATACTGCTAGTGTTAATGCTAGTGAATGAGGAAAGGGTAGAGAGGTTCAACACATAAATATCCGGGTGATACTTTGTCCCTTAGTATCTACATCACTGCTGTTTACTCTTTAGGACTGCTCTCCTTTCTCAGGCTTGGGCCAAAGTTAACCTGATCAAATGATTAACTAAAGGAATTATCTTTGAAGCTGGTTTCTGGCCTATATCAAGAATTATATTACTGGGTCACAGGCTGGTAGAGTTTTAGATCTTCAAAGGACCTTCGAGATTACATAGTTCCAAAGTAGAGTAAGTTGGAATTGAATTTGTATTGGAAGATAACTCTCATGAAATAATGAAATAAGTATAATAGAGTGATTTTTAATCTCTAAGGCAAGCTATTAATCTAAAGTAGAATAGCCATCTTGGAAATGAATTTTCCAATTTTAGGAAATCATTATATTTGAATCTAGGCCATTATATTACAGAAGTAGGAATAAAGAGTTTTCTTATGAAAGACAAATTACGATATTGCTTGATGACTATTGTGCTGTCATACAAGCCATCATTTCTCTTATTGAGTCAAACACTTAAATGGAAAGGGAAGAATTTGCTTAGTGTTAAAAGTAATTGGAAAGTTCCAGAGAATCTAACCATTCAAGTAAAATATACTTATCTGTGTGGCTTTTTCCTTTTTTGTCTTGAGAAAACATAAAGTCCCCTTTATCTGATATCGAATTACAGTGGGAATGACCTGAGTGAATTTGAGTGGAGTGGAGCCCCAAGAAACTGATCTCCTCACCAGTTCATAGGAAGTGGTTAAAGTTATTTGATTTCTGAAGTTATAGACTATTAATTCCTTTGCACTTTAAGTGTATTCCTCCACCAAGAGATACAGCTAAGTTAGTTATTGGCATTGCTTTTAGATTTTCTATTTTCACTCAAGTATATTTGTGAATGAGATTAAGACTTAAAAAAAAAAAAAGCTTCTAATGTTCAGTTAACATTTGTACATCAAGGAAATAGCCATTCAGTTATTTTTCATCCAGGCATCTGAAGCCAAGATGCACTTATAAATGTTTAAGCGATTAAATACTTGACATTAATTTTGTGGAAATTTGATAATTAGAATATAACCCAGTATCTTTTGATGCTGTGTTATAGGTGAAGACAGCAATGTCATTATAATAGGCTTGAATCAAACCAAATTTTCCACTTTCTTACTGCTTATCTTATTGATCAGTAATTATACCAGTTATTTTCCTTCATCAGTAATTATATGAGCTATCAGAAATCATCAATTTAAACTTCAAACAGAAAGAATATGATTGCTCTTAAATTTTCAGCCTGGGTAGCCTCAGCTTTACCAAGACTTACCTCATGTGTCTCTAGATGAAAGGAGAAATGAGAAAGGTGCTCTTGCTTCCTCCCTCGGGTAGCCAGGCCCGAGGTGCAGCTTTGTTAACGCCCTGTCTCCTTGCCCCCAGTCCACCTGGAAGGCTGCTATGGTGGGAAGATGTTTGATTGCAGAGATGTGGTTTTTGTTGTTGGCGAAGGAGAAGACCATGACATTCCAATCGGAATTGACAAAGCCCTGGAGAAAATGCAACGGGAAGAACAATGTATTTTATTTCTTGGACCACGGTAAGCAGCATAGTAGTTCAGTATACAGTGAGGCTATCCAGAAAACAGGGATAGGCTGGCTTTGTCAATCCACATTTCAATCCACTGCACTCAGTGGTGGAGGGAATTAATGGGCCTTACAATATCACAGAGGTTTGTGAACCTGTTTACTTGATTGATGTATATTATGGGGAGGACTGACAGGTAAGTTTTGCTTTTATGTGTATTGGCTTTACTTGCCATAGGGTTCTGTTGGCCCTTCTCATGTAATTCTCTTGCTCCCCTCTTCCCTTTTCCCTAAATCAGGCAGGAGGCAGTAAAACGTGGGGGTCTGGGAGTGGAAGAAGCAGGATGATTTATTACCCACTTGAAATTGTGCCACCTGTTCTTATACACAGTCCCCGAAAAAAAAAAAAAAAAAGAGTGTTCTTCCTGGATCTAAAGGCAGCGGAGATGACTCATTTTTGCCTAAATTTTTCCCATCATAAGGATATCCATTAGCACTTCCAAGCTTAGAATTATCAGACACTAACAGTCTCTCTTGTGAAAACATGTTTGGTATTATTTTTAGATCTAAAATTATACCATGAATCCAACCCTTCTATCTTGAGAAATGGACCCTTGAGAGAAACTGGGCTGTTTTGATTCTGCTTGCATGAAAGTGCATCTGCTTATCTGTTGTCTCCTCCCTCTCTGGCTCCCTGTGTTTCAGTCAGGATTGGGTTACTGAGAGTTGATGACCTGCACTTACGAGCAGGCAGACCGGCAAGATCGTGCGTCTTGTACAGTCATTTGCCTTTGTGTAGCCTCGCGGTGAACCAGTGGCTTAGTTACCTTTGCCCCAACGCTCGAGCCGTTACTCATATTTCTCAAGTGATGTTTCAGCCATGCCACGACCCACTGGAAATTCCTTCCTAAATGCTCTACACCTTGAACCCTTTAGAACTTTCTCTGAAGCATATTTTACCTTTTTGCCTTCTGTCATATTTCCTTTTCCACCGCTGTATTCCCATTTCAGTCAGTTTTATTTACATGTACTCCATATTTGTAATTTGTGCTTAAGTGAACAGATTTCTCTCTGTCAGAAACTTTTTCTTAAGCAAGTATAGATAAGGTTATCTCTTCCATACCTAAATAATATCTAATTATTCTTAACCCAACATTCTAAAATTACAGTTATTTTAAGCTCATGTAGAGTGGTATTTATAGCCGATTTATGCTTCCACATTTCAGCTCCTTGAGGATAAATTCAGTGTCCACTGTGAACATCACAATACAGTATGAATCAGTTCATGGCATTTTAACCTAGCTGATAAGGCAGGTCCCTCAAATTTAATGGCAAAGAGAGACAGGCATTATCCTTGTATATTTGTAATGTAAATTGTTTCTTGCAAGTTTAAAGTGTATTAGACCTTGTTGTGCAGCTTACCAGCTGTGTGCACTTGGGCAAGTCACTTAACTCCCTCAAGCCTTAGTTTTCCTTTCTGTACAGTGGAAATAACAGCAGCTACGGTACAGAGTTATGGAGGACTAATAAGGTAATGAACATAGAAAAGCCTGCAAAGTGTCTCATACATTTAAGCCGTCAGTGCATTAGCTGTTATCACCATTGTGATAGCTATCTTTCTCTTCCATTTTGCCCTCATACCACAAGAAAAAGGAAATCCTGTTTTAACATATGGTAAAGTTTTTAGATGGTTTTAGTCATAAAAATAGTCAACAAGTTTTTATACATTTCTGGGTATAAGTCTTTCATATGTTTTGTGGAAACAATTTAGCATATTTAGAAAGGAACATATTTTCAGCAGGCTAGTGTGCAGAGGAATTATGTAAAGTGCATAATCTACAAAATACGACTGTCTACTGTGTATGTAAAAAAATCCCTAAGGTGTTGAGTGCTGGCAGTTGAGTTGACTTGTACAGATTCCCATTTACCACAGAAGACTGCATCTGAGTGTTGCTATGATTATGACTGTTGCAAATCTATGTTCTGTGTTACTCTTAGGATTATTTTCCAGAAGACTTCCAGGGTGTATACTCTCTTTCCTTCCTTTTCTTATGTTTCTGTCCTATAACAACCCCAAACAAAAGCACATGCTGCCAAGAACCGTTGTGTCTAATTATGAGGTATTATAGGTCAAAAAAAAAATCACTTCTGGGAGGACACAGGGTCTGACTTTAAATCCTGGCTCTACCTCTGCCTTCTTTGTATGATTTTCAGGAAGTACTTTTCTCTCAGCCTTAGTTTCTTTATCTGTAAAAAGGGAGCAATTGGTAAGAACTTACGGTATAAGTACTTTGTGTGTGCACACTAATAGACATTATTTGTGTCTCTACTCTCTGAAGATAACTCTTAACTCGAGAACATTAATACTGAATGCCTTCTATTCCTATAGCCCAGCTTGTCAGCTGGTTAGGTTTTGGGATGTTTTAATCTTTCAGTTGGATGAATGTGTGTGCCCTGTGTCCTTACTGATCCAGGCCGCTCTGGCACATATCAGCTAGCTTTCTGCCTCAATTGGTCAGGTTAGATGCTCCTAGAACAGTTAAGTATATACTTAGATCTCCAGGAACGATGTGCTCCATGTGCATCTTCTTGGGATCTCTTCACTTCATTTTAATCTAGGAGAAGCTGTAGAAGTAATACTCTTCAGTCTTCCTCAATTCCACTGATGGTCACCAGGGCCGCCCTTCACCCAACCCCCACACCCTTCTCCATGGGTTTGCTATTTGTGAGTTTCTCTGAGGCAGCATTTCTCATCCTCAGCACTAGTAATTGGTGACATTTTGGGCTGAGTGAGTATTCATTATGGGGACTTTCCTGTGCATTCTGTAGAATGTTCACCAGTGTCCCTGACCTGCCCACTGGATACCAACAGCTTCCTCAAGTTGTGACAAGCCCAAAATATATAAGCAATGCTACCATATCGGAGGCAGGGAGGGGGTTGCTGCATTAGAACCACCCTGGTTTAAGGCATGTGCCTGTTCATCTGTGGCACAGGTACCTGCTTGGCTTAGGGCTCCAAGTATAACAAGCTGTCAGTAGATTCATGAGGAGCACGACTCACTCACCTAGTTCCCAGCAGTTAAAGAATGTTCTTGACTTAACAGATGGCAGGCACAAAATTGAGCTCAAAGTAGAAAACTAGTACCAACTTCCTAAAATAGCCAACTGGTGATTATGTCCTCTTCTATTTCTTTGCTGAAGATGCCCTTTGCCCTGCTATTAAAGCTACCACACCCCATTCCTACCAGCTCGCATTGTATCTCTGTGCCTCCCTCTGGCTCCAGCTTCCATTTTCTTGTGTAACAGTGGAGGTGAGTGAGTAAGCACTTTCTTCCTGGAAAATTCAGGCAAGGGGTAAAGAAAGTGATGCAAGCAACAAGATGTGAGTGTTCCCACTCTAGTTCTTTTACCCCAGAGAAAACTGGAGGTATCAGCATTGACTTGGTTTCGGCCTCTTTCAACCTACAACCTAAAAGTTTAAGTTCACTAAGTTTGTGCAGTGTCATTTTATTTATTAAAGAGTAGTTTGGCTTGAAAGAGATGGGAACAGAATATATTCCAGTGAACACTTTCCTTCTATGCTGAAGCACTGGGAAAGCCATTGAACCAGACAGACAGAGCACCATCAGAACTTCCATTCTAGTAGATGTGTGCTTCTGACATGTCTTGGATTTGTTAAAGATCTTAAATGAGCTGTAGAAATAAAATGGATACATATCGTTATTTTATCTACTAAGTTTGGCTTAAAATATGTAGTGTTTTACTGTGTTTTGGCTACAGAGCTGACTAGATTCTCTTGCTGAGAGCTTAGGACTTGCTAGGGTTATTTTTTTAATCATATTTTTGCTATATCATTTGTATTTCCTACTGTACTTTTTTCAAGCTTGAAGAAATACTTTAAGAATGTACTTCCTTCCTGGTGTGTGGGCCTTCCCTCCCTTTTATCTGACTGGAAAGGGTGCTCCTGGAATGACAGTGCTTTAAAACATAACCTTAGTGAACAGTGCCATCTTTTCTTCTTGCTGATAAAACCTAAGGGGAAAAGTTCTAATAGCCACATATTGGCTGTTTTATAAAAAGAACATAGCTATAAAATCAAGCAGAGAAAAAGGCAGTGACATTTCAAATCACAATAAGCAGGCTTTTCCAGGAGTGCAGGTGTCACCTTACATGTGAATGTGAAGAAGAAAAGAAAACAATCTAACCTGGTTTTCTAAAAACCCACAGTAGTGCACTCGACACTCTTTTGCTTGACCTTGGGTTTGTGTGTAGGGTCTCTGATGTGTGTAGTTGGCATATGATGACCCTGTGTTGATGTGATGCCTCAAAATACAGAAGAAAGTGCCTGGATTTTAAATACACCAATTCTTTTAAAGTTTTATGTTTTTACTCTCCATTTCAGATATGGTTTTGGAGAGGCAGGGAAGCCTAAATTTGGCATTGAACCTAATGCTGAGCTTATATATGAAGTTACACTTAAGAGCTTCGAAAAGGTGAGAAAATACCAACTTCTCTGAAATCACGGTAGATCCCTTCTCCATCGCGTCCTCTAAATCCATCCCTCATGGTACAGGGTGGTGTAGGTGAGGGCACTTCCGTGCGTGCTGTGCTTTCCATGCCTGAGTTTGCCTCGTCTCTGACACTGCCTCTGGAGCATGGGGCACTGGCAGCGCACGGCTGACATGCCAGAGGGAGCTCAGTGTTCTTATTTGTTCCTATGTGTCAGCCTTTCTTTTTTTTTTAACTTTTTTTTTTTGGGAAGAATCCAAGACTTGTTCCCTTATTTGTTCCTAGACTTGTTCTTTTTGTACTTTTTCCCTGCGTTGAAGACAAAAAAGTTCACGTTCTGCCAAGCAGCTCCTTGGGGGCGTGGGGCGCAGTTTTGCTGAACGGATTGTACCTTCTCTGGAGTAGTGAAGAGGCCTGCACTGTGGCTCCAAGTTATTATCCAAAACATGAGGCTTTGTGGGCCACCAGGCTCTGTGACAAGGGACACAAGAGACAGATCTCTAACCCTAGACCTTTTCTTTTCATACTTGTCCAAGTAGGAAAAAAGAGAGCTTGACGATTGCCTTTGGGTCCAGAAGCGGCACGCCTCCTGGAGCACATTTCTACTCCAGGCCACCTCTGGGGGCTCCCAGCAGCCGCTTCCCTGGACAAACACAAAGCATGTGCCTCGTTAGGTATGCTGTCATGTCCAGCCAAGCCTGCGTGTGTGTCAGAGCCCCGCTCTTCCCCAGCACCACCAGGACTGCATTTCATAGGCCTTTTTGTGTCCACAGTGCTGTCTCTGTGTCCTGGACACTAATTTTAGACTGGAAGCACGGCCATTTGTTTTATTAGACTCAGAAAGGAACTCCTTGTCCCATCGACATGTAACTTTGAACTAAGAGAGTGAGATTGCTTCAGGATTCTCCCCCAACAGTGATGTTCCTGATCCTTACCCTCCCCACTTCACATTCCCCAGACATTTGCTCCTGCTGTGACCACCACTTGCTGTCAGGTAACCTCTCCTGAAGACTTGCTAGCACAGAACCAAACCTCCAACATGTATGCACAGCAGTGTTTTTCATTGTGAAGAAGGAGAAGATAACCTACGGCAATGGTCACATCCACCTCTGGCTTTCCTATCTCTATTTCCCATCCACGGCCCAGTAACCAGTGCTCACATGAGAGCATTCTCACTGTGGCTGCCACAAGGCTCCTGCTGCCCTTCAGAAGCGTGTTCCACGCAACACTGCGTGGTGTGTCTAAAACCACATGAAGAGGTGTGATGACGTGACATAGTTCTCTGTCCCATAGTGTTGAGAATATATTTATACTCCCTAAATTATTTAACTCCTGAATTATTTTTTTAAAAAATGAACTGGGCTCTTGTTATTAGATTTTGAAGTAATGGACTGGGTTGTTAGGAATCAGCGTAGAATTGCCAAAAAAACTAGTAACTGCCTCACTTCCATTTACGAAAAAGAAGGGGGATGGGCTGTGACACTGGGAAGCCACCACTCATTGTGTTGTGAATAGAGTAAATTCTAGCGACTCACTTAAGCCTCAGAATTCCCATGTAGAAATAACAGCCCTGAAGCTGCTTTTGTCACTTTCCTGCAGTACCAGGATTGTCCTGTTGACTGTGATTCTTCTAAATCCCACAGTTCCCATGGAAAGAACAGTTGTCTTTGTCATCCTCTCTTTAATGCTGGGGCAATGACACGTAATACAAATGAGCAGATGATCAGAAAGTCTTTTATGGATGACTCTGAAACGCTGTTTTTCCATTAACATTACCCTCCTAATTATGTTTTTCCCTGGAAATTCCCCAGGCATACATCTGCAAGTTGACATAGTGTGGATTCTTTAGTCTGTCTGGTTGTTTTGGAGTACAGAGACAAACACTTGATCTGGAATTTTTAAAGTCCTAGATGGACCTACAGCTGTGACTTGACTACTGTAGTGTTTCCATTTTGGAGTTAAAAAACCGAGGCGTGAGGAAAAACAGCTTGCTGAAATTATAATACTAGTTTTATGGAGAAATTTGCAAAAGGGGGTGAAGGGACCTTCGCTTTCAGTGGGTAGCCTCACCTCAAATTCTAAAGGCACGCTCTTGAACAGTGTTCAGGGGTTTCTGTTCCTCATGGTGGTTGTGCCTGCTGCTTCTTGAGTAACGGGTCTAACCCAGGCTTTGTCAGTGCCATGGAAAGTGAGTGGCAGCCTCGTGGGGAGCTGGTAGTGGCACGTGATTTGAAGTTTCGGAAGAAGTAGCTACTCATTGTTTTTATGGACATCAGGGGTTGCTTTTTCCTTCTCTTTTCATCTAATCACTGTCACAAATTTGTACACAGGCCAAAGAATCCTGGGAGATGGATACCAAAGAAAAATTGGAGCAGGCTGCCATTGTCAAAGAGAAGGGAACTGTGTACTTCAAGGTATGTGAGCCCTTGTACATCTTTTTCACCTCAAAGAATGTATTCAAGTGTCAGTGAATACATTCTACTGACTCCTTACTCTGAGTTCTATCAACACCCTTCTGGGTCAGAAAAAGCCTGAATTTTGTTAGTTTGTCATTTCCAGTTTAAGAAGTGGTGAGAAAGAATGAATTAATGTGACAAAAGAATACAGATCCTCTCTTTCCATGGCCTTCTCTGGATTGCAGCCCTCTGCAACAACAGACCAGGTCTGGCTTGCCCACCCACCACTGTAGTGCTCAAGGCCTAGAACATCTTGCTTGGTGCATGGCTGGCACTCAACAAGTATTTGTGGAATGAAACAAAGAATGAATAGTATAATTGTTAGCAAGTAATAGGATTCATAGGGGTGAGTTTCACATCATTTTCCCTTCCACTGTCTTGATGAAGCTACTAAGGCACATGACGGAAGGAAAAGGAATACACACAGATTTCAAAAGATACTGCCAGGAGGAGAGGATTAATTTCTTTGAATGACCAGGGTGATCCCTCACATACTTGCTTTGGTGAGGCATCTTTAGAAATTCCTGAATCAAATTAGTTATTGATTGCTTCTCAGAGCCCTTTCTTACAGCATCTAAGACTGTGTTATACCCTCACTTAAGTCAGAAACCCCCACATATAAGAAAAAAGAAACAGCACTTTGTTCAGTTCTAATCAGAATGCTCTACCCATTGTTTCCCTGAGCCTGATGTGTACCATCTCCCAAGTCAGGCAGAAAGGGCTGAGTGAGGAAGAAAGAAGGGGAGGTCTCAAGATTTTGTTTTCTCTTTTCTCCATCTGCCACCACAGGCCATGAACAAAAGGTAGCTGATGTTTAATGGCCTAAAGCAATGGGGCATAAACGTACTTCACCGAGTCTTTATGGTGTACCTGCTGTTAGACGTGCGATTATTGTGGACAACCATTTCTGGGAATGGAGGCAATGTTTAACCCCCACAAAACAGCTGGAGAATTACATAAGACTGTATGATCAGCACACAGTTAACACAACCAGAGGGCAACATGTATGGTTGTTGTTTGTTTGAGAGGAGACCCATTACTGGGACATGAAAACAATTTATGGATACTGCACTATGAAGTGAGGACATACTTCATTTGACTTAACTTGTGTTCATTTATATGTAAATAGGTACCAGGTTTCTTACCATGGATTAAAGCTAAACAAATTTGAAATCAGTTGGTTCAAATAATATATAGCTAGCTCTATTTCTGTATAATTGTGGTGTTTTTGAAAAGAATATATGGTTCACCAGAAAGCACTGGGGTATGGTGGAGTAAGCTTCAAGTTGGGAATTGAGAAGGCTGGACTAAGTTATGGCTCAAACGATTTTAGTCATTTAAGGGTCCAAAGAGTTTATTTTTCATGTAAAATTGTGAGGGAGTTAGTTATCTCCAAGTTTCTTCCCAGCCCTAAAATTCTGTGAGTTTCTAAACATTTTTAAAATTCTGATTGAGGTGTGGTGAATATTGAACTAGTCAGGTAGGATCTGGGTTATTTGTACACTAGAATTAAAAAAAAAAAAAACTCCATAAAATACCTTAAGACCATAGATCCTATAGAATATTTCCTTTATTCTGGGGATCCATACAGTCTCTAAATGTATTTTTTTAATATTTTTCCAAAACTTCTAAATAGAATTTGAACAGTTTGGGGGAGATTGAGGCTTTTGGCACTTGACAAACTTTATATCCACTCAGTAGGGGAAAACTGGCCAGCTTTTCAGAAGCTCTTATTTTGTTGCTGATGACTCAGAACTTTGGGGAACATTAATGGTAATGAAATAATGACACAAAGCCACAAGTCATATAGCTGTATCTTGACTATATAGAGGAATACAGATGACCAGGTCTTGAAAATATATGTAAGGAGAGAAGGAGGGATGACCAGAATTAGTGCCCAGTAGCAGCAAGCAATGTTAAATGTAAAAATACTTAACCTAGGTGCTTGTTAGCATCACAACTACAACAGTGATTGGTATATATCAGAAATGAGGAACCCTCTTAAAATTAAGTGATCTTTGGATAAAATCTGAATCAGCATTCATACATATGGAACATATTATTTTTTAACATGCAGTTTGAGAGACAAAATCTTTCAAAACATTAGTCCATTGAGGGAAAATTAATGAAAGGTTCAAAACCACTGACCTAAGACTTTTCTCCCAGAATGTCTCTGAACATTTTGTACTACTAAAAACTTCCCTGGAGGCACCTTCATAATTATAGGTAAGAGATCCCAGTGGTGATCCTAGTTTTAGCTATAAGACTTCAGAATCGTTTCCTGTTTTGTAGTGAGCTCTCTGCACACGTTTTCTTTTCAGATTGCAGGGCAGGTTTCAATCTGTAGCACTGCCCTTCTTCTCGAGGTGTTTGACTTGGCACGTTGTGCACGTCAGAGTCCAGTTGTGTGGGTGAGGGCAGAGATGGGGAGAAATAAACATCTGCACGTCCTGCAAGTGTCCACGGGCGCTGCCTTTTCATGAACTTGTGGGCTTGGTCTTGTCTACGAGAGTCAGTCCCCCTCTGTAGGGTAGGATCGTGCTCAGCTTTTAAATAGCAGTGATTTAGCTATTTAGATTGTAAACGCCTGTCAACTTCTAAACAATAAAAAGAAGAAAGGTAGTAAAGGGCTCTTCACTTGACTCTGAAAATAATTGCTTTTTCCACCCCTTCCCCACCAAGTGAATAATTATAAAGCACAAATTTTTGCAGGACGAGCACTGACACACCTGGCTAGTGTTTTGCTTTCTGACTTGGAGACAGACTGGGCTGTGGGCACTGTGGTGATGTGGGGCTCTTGCGCCCCCTTGTGCTCCTTATGAGAAAAGCTTTTGTAGAGCTTGGTAATTAGGAGACATCTCTCAACCGCTGAATCCTTTCAGACAAACCAGTCTTTGCTGTGTTTTGAGCACCCTGTTTAACCAAAGAAACCAATGATGCGATTTAGAAACAAATCACCTGTAATTTTAGGATTTTAGACGAAGCCAGTCTGCCTCTTTTCCCTATCCTTCATCCTCTTAGTTACAGGTCTTCTCAGCATTGACATGATAGACATTTGGGGCTGTACAATTCTTTGCTGTTGGGGGCTGTCCTGTGTATATTGTGTATTTAGCAACATCCCTACTCTCAGCAAGTAGTATAGACTCTCCTCTCTAGTCGTGACAACTGAAAATGACTCTAAACATTGCCAGGTTGTCCCAGGAGGGTATTGGGTACAAAATCAACCCCCTCCACTGAGAGCTCCTTTTAGAATATCAGAAAGAGGGACCCACCAAACAAAGACCTTCGCTCATTAAAGTTAAAATCTATGTAAAGTTATATGTGACATATGGGAGAACTTTCAAGTCCATTTAAATTTCAAAAAGTAATTTAAATATTCAATAAATGTAAAGGAATGAAGGGCACCTCAGAGTACTATGGATTCAGTTCCAGGGCACTACACCACAGCAAATATCACACAAAGCAGCAACATGAATTTTTTGATTTCCCAGATATATATATAAGTTACATTTATACTATCGTCTAGTAAGTGTGCATTGCCATTATATCTAAAAACAAAACAACTTGTAGACCTTAATTTTAAAATATTGTTAAAAAATGTTGATCATTTCCTGGGTCTTAAGTAAGTTGTCATTTTGCTGGTAGAGGGCCTAGCCTTGATGCTGATAGCTCTGACTGTTTGGGGTAGAGGTGGCTGAAGGTTGGGGTGACTGAGATTTCTTCAAAATAAGACAATGAAGTGTGCCCAGTTGATTAACTCTTCCTTTCTCAAAAGATTCTCTGTACCAAGCAACATGATATAAATATAATAGAACTTCTTTCAAAACTGGAGTAGATCTTTTCAAATGCTGCCACTGCCTTATCAACTAAAGTTTATATAATATTCTAAATCTTCTATTGTCATTTCAACAGTATTCACAAAATCTTCACCAGAATTAGATGGCTCAATAAGCCACTTTCTTTGCTCAGACAGAAGAAACTCCTTATCCTTTCAAGATTTGTCACAATTAGCCACATCTTCAGGTTCCACCTCTAAGTAGTTCCCTTGCATTTTCCTCCACTTCTATAGTTGACTCCCCCCACTTAATTCTTGAACCCCTCAGAGTCATTCATGAGGGTTAGAATCAACTTCTTTCAAATTTCTACAAACACTGACATTTGACCTATGAGTGACATGTTATTAATGGCATTTAGAAGGTTGGAGCCTTTCCAGACTTATAATTTACTTTGTTCAGACTAACCGAGGAATCACTATGGCAGCCATAGCAAAATGTATTTCTTAAATAATAAGACTTGAAAGAGAAACCTGCTCCTTGACCCATGGGCTCCTGGATGTAGATATTGTAATAGCAGGTATGAAAACAACTCCATCCCCTTGCCCCTCACCATCAGAGCTCACCAATGACCAAGTGCACTGTCAACTAGCAGTAATATTCTTTTAATAATTAGTAATTATTAATAATTATTTTGTGCCTTTTTCCATCTCAGTTGTAATCCCCGTGGGCTTCCCACCACCAGTTCACCCGTGTGCCATCACCACAGTTCAGTATTCTCCCCGCCCCCCATTTTTGATCCCATTCCCCATTCTTCCCCCATAAAATGTCCCTGGTATATAGTTGTCCATTATTATTATTATTTTCTCCCCTGGTCCTTTACACTCCCGAACAGTAATATTTTTAAAGGCATCTTTTTTTCAGAGTAGTAGACCTTAGCAGTTGGCTTAACGTATTCACTAAACCATATTGTAAACAGGTGTGCTGTCATTCAGCCTTTGTTCTTACATTTGTGGAGCACAGGCAGATTGGGGCTAGCAGAATTCTTAAGGGCACTACATTTTTTTGTAATGGCACATGAGCGTTAGCACCGATTTCAAGTCATCAGCTGCATTAGTCCCTAGCTAGAGGGTCAGCCTGTCCTTGAAGCTTTAAAGTCAGGCATTGCCTTCTCTCTAGCTATGA